AGTTTGTGGAATTTTTTTCTTGATTACTCCTGTTGGCCTGTGAGAACTAAAATACTTATGACTCGTCCTTTTAAAGAAAAAGTTTGCAGATCCTTGTTCTATAACAGTGTTTCTCAAATACTAATGCATATAGTAATTACTTTGGATCTTGTTAAAATGCACATTCCTCTACAGAGGAATCCAAGAATTTGCATGTTAAGTGATGCAGTTGCTGTTGATCTGTGGACTGCATTTTGATTAGCAAATCTCTAGTATACAAGACTAGATTTATAGACAATGCTACTAATATTTATTAAGCATCTGTTATTTGCGAAGAGTTAGACCAGGGACTCTTATATTATTGCCTCTTCAAAAGATCTTGAAAACTTGTTAGAAAGTGTTAAAGAATTAAGGAAATGTTGGGTAAAAGTTTAAGGTTAGAATGTTGTTTCTTTTCCTTGGGGGTGTAGTTTCTCCTAAGACCTGATGTGGGAGGATTGAGGTCTTGGAGGAAGCAGTACATCTGAGAAAAACATAGGAAACAAGATGCTGGGCTGATCCAAGTGAAAGTGGACCTCATTTTCTCATCTTTTGCTTGGTGCTGGTATGCCATCAGTTACCAAGCCAAAGGGTGGGCATTGTGTATAACATTTTGCAAATATTTTCTTCCAGTCTTTTATTTGCCTTTTTACTTTGTAGCTGTCTTTTGAATTTGCAAAATTTTAAGTTTTTTAAGAAAACCAATTCATTGATTTAATTTTTTTGCTTTTAAAAATTGTGGTAAATATAATAATACAGAATTTGCCATTTAAACCATTTTTAAGCGTATGGTTTAGCAGTATTAACTACATTCACATTATTGTGCTAGCATCACCACCTTTCATCTCTAGAAGTTTTCCACATTTTCCAGTTGAAACTCAGTATCCATTAAATACTTAATTCCTTGTTCTACATCTCCCCAACTCTGGCAACCACCCTTATACATTATGTACACTTCTGGCTATAAGGAAGTATTATACATTATTTGATCTTTTGTGACTGGCTTATTTTACTTAGTATAATGTCTTTGATTTTCTCCAAGTTTTACCACACATTAAGAGTTACTTTCTTTTTAAGGCTGAATGATATTCTCTTATGTATATAACACACTTTGTTTATCTATTCATTCATTGATGGGCACTTGGGTTCTATGTTTAGAGAGTATGACTAATGCTGCTGTGAACATGGAATTACAAATGTCTGTGTCCCTGCCTTTACTTTTTGTCATTTATATACTCATAAGTGCAATTTCTGTGTCATATATAATTTTGTGTTTAATTTTTTAAGGGACTGCTATACTTTTTTCCATAGTGGCCACACCATTTTATATTTACGTAAACATTGCACAAGGGTTTCACTTCCTTGCTGTGTCAATAGCTCTCCAATAGTGTAAAATAAATGTCTGAGATAATTAACTTGAAAAGAGTAAAAGCTGGGCTGGGGTTTTGGCTCAGTGGTAAAGTGCTTGTCTAGCATGTACGAGGCACTGGGTTTGATCCTCAGCACCACATATAAATAAATAAATAAAATAAAGGTATTGTGTCCATCTACAACTAAAAAATTTTTAAAAAGAGTAAAAGTTTGTTTTGGCTATGCTTTCAGAGGTTTCAGTCCATGTTCAATTGATCCTATTGCTTTGAGGCCCTTGATGAAGCAACATATCATGGCATTGGGCACATGGTAGAGCAAATTGTTCACCATGATGGTTGGAAAATGAAAAAGAAGGGCCGAGGGACCCAATATCCACTTGTAGGGCTCACCTCTAATGCCTAAACATCTTTCTACCAGACTCCACATCTTAAAGGTTTCACTACCTCCCAGTAAGTAGTGCCATGGACTGGGGACAAAGACTTCCATATATAGGCCTTTGGAAGAAATTCTTGATCCAAACTGACACTTGCCAACACTTTTTGATGTATGTGGTGCTAGGGATCGAACCCAGGGCCTTGAGCATGTTAGGCAAACACTCTGTCAATTCAACTATATCCTTAGCCCTTGTTTTTTGTTTCTGTATGCTAGTAATCTTACGTGGATGTGAAGTGCTATCTCATTGTGGCTTTGATTTCTTTCCTTAATCATTAACATTACTCAATGTCTTTTCATGTGCTTATTGGTATGTTATCTTTGGAGAAATTTCTATTCACATCTTTTGTCCATTTTTAATTGCTTTTTGTTTTTCATTGTTGCATTATAGAAGTTCTTTGTATGTTCCAGATATGAGACCTTTATCAGACAGATGATTTGCAAATATTTTCTCCATTTTATGGGATATCTTTTTGTTCCATTGATTGTATTCTTTGGTGCACAGAAGTTTGTGATTTTGATGAAGTCCAATTTATTTATTCTTTTATTTCCTGTTGTCATATTCAAGAAATCATTGCTGAATTCAGTGTCATGAGGTTCCCTTTATGTTTTTTCCTAATAGTTTTGGGTCTTCTGGTATCCATTTTGAGTTATTTAAAAATAACTCATTTTATTTAAAAATTAAAATTAACACACTTTGTTTATTCATGATATGGAGTTCATGTATATAGCTATCCAGTTTTCCGAGCACCATTTGTTGAAAAGACTGTTCTTGCTTTGTTGAATGGTCTTGGTGAACTCAGTAATTTCATGTGGTAGTTTATTTTCTGGGCTGTTGTGACCCATTGATTTTTATGTTGGTCTTTATGCCAGTACTTTATACTTAGTTTTAAAATGTGACAATATGTTCAAAATGATCCTGTGCCAGTGAAGAACCAATAGGGATTTTTTTTTTTTTTAATAACCCAAAACCTCAGTAGATTGTAAGTCCCAGTGTCAAGCTTAAGAATTGGTGGACTTGTCATATATAATAGGTACTTGATTTGGGAATCCTAAACTTGAGCCACAGGGACTCTACAAGAGAACAGAAGGTCATGGGAGATGGTCATAGTTAAAAGAGAACCAGGAGGGAATAGAAAGGTATGGTAGAATTTTGAACACTAGAATTATTTTTGTTTTGCTTTTGTCCCCCTATCCCTGCCCGCCCCATCCCCTATCAAGTAATAGTATACTTTTTGTTATACTAATGGATCAGAGAAAAATGGGAGCATTGGCTATACTAAGGATTATGTGTAACAAATCACTAGTTTGAGGAAAGAATTAAATGACTATATTAATGGCATGAAATTCAAGCCAAGGTGGACTTTTAAGAAAACAAACTAGGACAGAAGGAGGTAAAGGGGGGAAGAAGGTGCTAGAGAGATGATATACATGTGAATGTAAGATTTTATAGATATTGAAAAGAAATGAGATCAAAAGCAAGAGTTAAAAACTTTAGCTTTTTAGCTTTCTGTATTTTCTGAGATGGAATAAAGAGTGGATGGGAGGGGGATATGTTCAGGTACAGAGATGCAAGTAAATGTGGAAAGATGGTCACTGTTCATCTAAGTCCTCTATCCAGATGAGAATGAAAAGTAAGTGAGGGAAATTTAAAAGGTAAAGTGTATAGGAACAGTTGTTAAACTTTAGGAAGTAATTAGGGTGTGTGGAAGAACTATTTTAATTTACAAATGTTCCCTATAATATCTTTCCTGTTACCTTTGAGAACCCCCATTTCTGAAGTTTATCTATCAGTAGAGAATTAGCAGACATAGATAAAATAATTTTTAAGACGTTAATTGAACTTCAACTAGAATTTGTGAGAGTGCTAAACCCCCCATCCCCACTTTTCAAGGTGATTGTTTAATAGTTGTACCTCAGTGATTTGCTTTAACCATGTGTATGTTTCATCTACTTTGGGAAAACTTAAATCTGTGAACTGTACAGTTGGCCCTTCAGCTTCTGGCATGCATGAATTCAGTCAATGACAAGTTTGAAAATGTTTGGGAGGAAAAACGTTGCAACTATACTGAGGAAGTACAGACTTTTTCCCCTTGTAATTATTCTGTAAACAATATGGTCTAACAGCTGTTGATATAGCATTGATACTGCATTAGGTATTATAAGTAATTTAGAGATGATTTAAAGTATAATGGGACTTGAGCATCTGTGGATTTTGGTATCCATGGGGTCCTAGAACCAATCATCCATGTAAAACAAGGGACAGCTGTACAAAAAAAATCTTCAGGGACCTATCAATGACAAAATAATCCTTCCCGTTTTAAAATGTAGTTAGCTAGATAAGGCATAGAAACAAAATGAAAATTAAGTGGTGGTAATATCTATCTAAATTCTGTACAAGCTTATTATCAAAGTGATATTTTTCAAACTGTGGATTTGTGGTCCATTAATAACTCACAATTAGTGTTGTCTACTCCCCCTTAATGGATTAGAATAAAATAGATACCATACAGGACTCTTATTACTATAGTAGTTTCCATAGTGTAGTGTTTGTGGAAAACTTCTTTATGCATATAAGTATCTGTATACTGAATTGGAAGGAAAATATATTTCCTACTATAGGTTATAGTCAAAAGTGTAGGGTATTTTTTGTGTGGTTTTGTGGTTTGTGGTACTGAGAATTGAACCCAGGGCTCCACCACTAAGCCATATTCCTATATTCCCAGTCCTTTTTATTTTTAAAAATTATTTCTTCTTTATTAAATTATTTATTTATTCTAATTTGTTATACATGAAGGCAGAATGCATTCATTTCATATTACACATATAGAGCACAAGTTTTCAAGTCACTGGTTGTACACAAAGTATTTTTTAATTTTTTGTTTTGAGACAGGTCTTACCAAGTTGCTGAGGCTGGCCTTGGAATCCTCCAGCCTCAGCCTCCTGAGTTGCTGGGATTACAGACGTGTGCCACTGTGACTGGCAGGATGTTTTTGATAAATGTGTGAATATTATAAAAATCTTAAAGTCTCCTAATTTCATCAGTTTATAGCATTTGTTTATAAATTTTCATTGACAACTAACTATATATTTTATGTTTGTATATGAATATGTACGTGCACAACATACACCCATGTACAGATCTGCATATGTATGTCTGTTTTTCTTTTTCTTAATAGGTGCAATGGATGAGCTTCATAGTCTGGATCCAAGAAGGCAAGAGTTATTGGAAGCTAGATTTACTGGAGTTGCAAGTGGGAGCACTGGGAGCACTGGTAGTTGCAGCGTTGGAGCTAAAGTGAGTAAAACTTTAATTTTTCTTTAATATTCTTTGTCTGTATTAAATTGCCTAAAATATTTTGTAAAGGAACTTTATATATTTGTTTAACGGCAAACTATTATTCCTTTTTTTTTTTAGAGGAGAGAATTTTTTTAATATTTATTTTTAGTTTTCAGTGGACACAACATCTTTATTTTATTTTTTTTTTATGTGGTGCTGAGGATCGAACCCAGCTCCCCGCGCATGCCAGGCGAGCGCGTTACCACTTGAAACACATCCCTAGCCCTATTATTACTTTTATAATGTGTTTAAAACGATAGTATTTATAAACTTGATTTTTGTTTTTTTCTGGTGGTGCTGGAAGTGGAACCCAGGGTCTTGTGCATGCTAGGCAAGTGTTCTACCACTGAACTATATGCCTCACCATCCTATAAACCTGATTTCTAATACAGCATAACATTTTTCAGGGACCTTATGTTATATGTTTCAAATAAAAGTCCTTTTAAGTACTCACTCATGATTAGTTTAGACCCACCCAGATAATCTGGGATAATCTGCTTAACTCAGAGTCCTTGTCCTCAGACACGTCTGCAAAGCTCCTTTTGCCATGTAGGATAACAGTCATGGTTTCTGGGTATTAGTGTGTTGGCCATTATTTCCTCTACCGTGTACCATCATTCTTTGTTTTTGTTTGTTTCCCAGTACTGGGGATTGAAATCAGGGGCACTTTCCCAGTGAACTATGCTCCCAGCCCTCTGTATTTTTTTATTTTGAGATAGGGTTTTGCTAAGTTGTTTAGGCTACCTCAAACTTGCCATTCTCCTTCCTCACCTCTTTGAGTAGCTGGGATTACTGGTGTGTGCCACCAAATCCAACTGGTTTTCTTATATTCCCCCTCCCCCCTGGTTTTTTTTTTTTTTTTTTGGTGTAGCTGAGAATAATTGATAGGCAGTGAGTAATACTGAAGAAATTCCTAGTGGGATGTAATAACAATATTTCATGTTCTACCTTTAAATTCATCTGTGGTGTGTAGTAGCAATTCAGTTTTGTTTTTCCTCCATCTGGTGAACCAGTTTTCTCTACAATGCTTCTTAAATTGTCCATGTTTTTTTCACTGATTGGTGATACCACCTTTATCATATATACGACTTGTATATTTACTACATATCATTTGTCACATGATAGTATAGATGATTACTATGTATATATGTGAGTCTGCCTCTGTGTTTTTGTGCTAATATTACATTAAAATATTATTGTATTTTGGAATGTCTTCTAATATAGTAGAGCAAATCTCTTTTTGTTCTTTTAAGATCAGTTTATTTATGGATCTTTATTCCCTCATAAAATTTGAGTATCTCTTCATGTGCTTGTTAGGATTTGGGAATTCTGTAGTGGCTTATTTGTATCTATTTCCTTAAAAGAATCAAGTGTGATTTTTTTTCTAATGCATTCAGTGTATAGATCAATTTGGGAAGTACTAACATCTTTATAAGATTAGGTTGTCCTATTTAGTCCATGAAATGTCTCCCCATTTTTATTCAGTTCTGTAGAATTTTTAAAATTTTACTTTCTAGTGTGTTACTGTAGCTTAAGATGTTTTTTTTAAGTTTTTAAAATCTGGTCTGGTGTCTAGCCGTCATATTATATGTATGTATGTGAGCGTGCATGTGTGTGTGTATATATGTGTGTGTTTGTATATATTATATATATATATGTATATATACATAATATATTATATATATATGTATATATACATATATATAATTATTTTCCTTAATGTTGTAACCACCTTCAAGTACTATGTTTTATTCTTTCCCTAAAAGAGGAATCATCCAATTTTTAATGTTTGCTATAGATTATAAGTATATAACCATGACCAAGTTAAAGAATAGCTTTTCTATTACTGGTTAGTTAAGAGCTTTTTGTTCATTTGTTTTAAAAACCTAAATGGTGTTGAACTTATAAAAGTTTCTTTTGTTGTTGTTTGAAAGAATCCTGATTTTTTCCCCTTTGGATTATTGATATGGTTATTTAGTAGATTTAAAAGTGTTTAAACTTGTTTGCATTTCTGTGATAAACTTAATTTTGATGTATTACTTTAAAAATATATTTATTGGATTTCATTTGGATTTTTATATAGAAACGTTGAAAGAAATAGATGTTACATACTGGACAAGTATAGTTCAGTGAGTGTTGTTTTTGATTTTGTTTTGTTTTGGCCATACTGGGGATTACCCAGGGCCTTCTGTATGCTAGATAAGTACTCTACCACTGAGATATATCCCCAGCTAGTTCGTTAATTTTTGACAAATGTATTCATTCTTGTAATCTTTATGCCTCTCAAGATACTCAGCATTTTTTTCACACTGTATCTGTTTTATAAATTAGTAGCATACTAGTCAAACAAAAGAATCTGGACCTCTTCACTATTTTCAGGTTTTTTTCAACAACATGAGTGTATCATGAGAAATATTCTTGGGAATATAAGAAGACATTCACCTGTAAAGCTGTAATAATTTCCATTTTTTAATTAGTGTATAGTTAAAATACTTTTTAAAAACCTCTTGTTGGGGGCTGGGGTTGTGGCTCAGTGGTAAATTGCTCGCCTAGCACATGTGAGGTGCTGGGTTCGCACATCAGCACCACATAAAAATAAATAAATAAATAAGTTTTTTTTTTTTTTTTTTTTAAAGTATAACTTAAAAAAAAACCAAAAGCCTCTTTTGTTAACTTGCTTTCTTCATAATCTCCTTTTCTGTTCATTCTTGCCAGAGTTCTGTTTAATCTAATGAATATTTCAGAGAAAAAGATCTTCACTTTAATCTGTATCTGTTTTTCTCCTCTTGTTTTTTTCCATTGAGTTTTGCCTTAATTTACTTACTGTTGCTTTGGCCTTGCATCAATTGAAATGAGTGCTTATTTAGTTAATTTACTTCTATAGAGATGTAAACATAAAATAAAATGTATAGATCTTATGTGTTCAGTTCTGATATCTTCTCCTTGTGGTTTTTGCTAAGGTATAGTTTCCATGTAATAAAATTCACCCTTTTACTTATATAATTCTGTTGTAAATTTTTAAAAATATGGACAGCTAGTGGACACTCCCAGCCGTTCAGGAGGCTGAGGCAAGAGTTTTGCAAGTTCAGAGCCAGTCTAAGCAAAAACAAGGTGCTAAGCAACTCAATGAAACCCTGTCTCTAAATAAAATACAAAATAGGGCCGGAGATGTGGCTCAGTGGTTGAGTGCCCCTAGGTTCAATCCCCGATACCAACAACAACAACAAAAACAAACAAACAAAATACAATTGTGTAATCTCCATTACAACTAAGATAAAAAAAATAGTTTCCTCACCCTAAAATATTCCCCCAAACTCCCTTTGTATCGAACCCCTCTAGGTTGCCTTGGCAACCACCAGTCTCTTTCCTGTTCAAGTTCTATAGTTGAGCTTTTCTAAAATGTCATGCAAATGGGAGTATGAACTCCAGTATGTAGTTTTTTGAGTCTTGCTTCTTTCAACTAAATGTAGTGGTTTCTTATGTGAGATTCACCAGTATTGTTTAATATTATCAATAGCGTGATTGTTTTATTGCTAATTAATATTATTCCATTGTATGCATACACCACACTTCTTTTTAATCCATTTCCCAGATGAAGAACGTTTGGGTTGTTCCCAGTGTTTCAGTGATTAGGAATAAAACTACTATAAACATTTGTGTATTCTGCCCTCTTAGAGCTTTGGAAATAGTTTACATGTTGTAAATACCAAATAAAACAAAATATAGAATATTTTCATTCCTTCAAAAAGTTTTCTTCTGCTTCTTTCTAGTCAGTTCCCTCTTGTCAAATGCCCTCTGCCTCAATCCCTGATTTCTGTCACTACAAATGAATTTTGCCTGAATTGGGATTACATACAAACAGAATCATGCAGTAATTTTTTTGTATTTGACTTCTTTCACTTACCATATTTTTGATATTTATTGATGGTGCTGTTTTAAAAGTTCATTCATTTTTGTTGCTAAAAAGTATTTTATTGTATCAGTTGACCACATCATGGAGTGATAATCAGATCGGATATTTTTGTTTTGCATATCATGAATAAGTTTGTGTAACTTTCTTGTGTAAATGTTTTGGTGAATGTTTTCATTTCTCTTTGGAAAATACTTAGGTATAGAGTGGATATATGCTTAAATTGTTTTGAAACTTCCAGAGTTTCAAAGTACATGAGAAATTTTTTCAAAGTGTATAAGAACTTCAATTTTTCTATGTCCTCACCAACATATGGCAATGTGATTTTTTTTCTTTTTTATTTTGGCCATTCTAGCAAGTGGGAGGTTAGTATCAGCTCATTTATTTTAACCATTCATATATCCTGATTAATGCTGTCCTCTTAAGAATTCCTTTTTGTCCCACACATTTCAGTAGATGCTATATTATTGTTCAGTTTTATATATTTCATAATTGCCTTTATTTCCTTTTTAACACAGAAGTGCTAGCATGGCATATTCTGAGCTATTCTTTTGTTATAGATTTCTAATTTATTGCATTCTAATCAGAAAATACAGTTTATATGATTTCAGTCCCTGAATATGCTGTTTTATAAGCATTTCATATCTAAATAGCTCTTAATTGTATTTGTTCAGGTTTCTGAAACCTCCTTGTCTGCTTGATTTGTCTTTTGCTGAAATATTATAGTGTGATTTTTGATTTATGTATTACTGCTTGCAGTTTATTAGTTTTTACTTGATACACATTTGAGGGTGTATTTTTACATGCATATATCTTGTTTTATTGTTCCTTTTATAACTGTATAATATTTATGTCACCTTCAGCTTCCTTTTCATGTTTGTCTTGGGTGTGTTTTTTGTCCTTTTGTACTCTTTAAGTACTTCTTATGAACAACATTTGGTTTTTGTTTGAAATATGAGTGTTTTCTCTCTTAAGTGGTGAATTCTGTCTCTGTTATTTGTTATAATTATTATTTTCTGACTCCCTTTCATCATACACTGCCTAATGC